ACTGTGGAACCATCAAAATAAGTGCTTCCTAACACCTTTTCCAGCTGGGCTTTGATTTCCATGCCTTCCATTTCTCTGGGACTGAGTTCCTGTTCTTCTGAAGAGGAGCCCTTACTGCTGCAGTTGCCACTGCCATAGACTCCCACCACAACCAATCCAATCACCACAAGCAAGCCAACGATGATGTAAATCTTGGTTTGGAATCGTTTCTTGGCTTGTTCCTTTCTCTTTTGTGACTCATCCACATCAAACGGTGCAGCTAGTGGCAAATCTTGGGGCGTCTCATCCTCTTCCACCAGCGCTGCCACAGCCAAGCCATTATTGTCACTGTTGGCAGCATTATTTATTTCGGGCACGTCAAACTTATCACCATGGTTCGCGTGCTCGACAGTCTGACTGTTTGTTCTCGAAGTCAAACGAGCGACTTGCCCTTCAATGAAGGATCGATTTTCACTATGGGCACGGGCAGATTCGGACGGCTCAGGTTCTTCCCTGTCCTCAGACACCAGGCTTCCATCACGGTCACTTAGGTCGGCCATTCGTTCGACTGTGGCGGAAGCGACCCCAAGCAATGAAAAGCGAGGTCTGGTGGTTCTTTGGGGGCCCATGCCAGGAGCTCCTGAGTATGCTCCTGGTTGTGCCCCACCAGGAAGCGGAATCTGCTGCTTTCCATTATTTTCGATGTTGATTGGCGCACTGGTAGCTGTTGCGGTGCTACTGCCAGGGGTTTTGCTGATGCCGTTTAAATTTGTGCCAGCGGATGCGGGAGGCTGGAGGCTCTGCCGGGCTTCGGCTAGTTTGGCAATTTCATCAATATTCAGATATTCTTCACTGGTGTGCCCAGTACCGGTACTTGTGCTGCTGTTCTTGGTGGTACTTCTGCTTTTCCCATTCTGGACACGGCTGCTGGTAGAATCTGCTTGCCGGCCTGCCCTAGCTTCCTGCTGCGCTTTCTCTTGTTCAGCAGTAGCTGCTGCTTGTTGTTGGACCCTCTGGTTGTCCTGCTCATATTGCTCCAGCTTTTGGAGCTCCGCCTCTCGTTTTCTAGCATCTGAGGAGCGCGCTTGCACAGCCTGAAGGACATAAAATTCCTCAGAGTCCAAATCCGTTTTTGTTGCCTTTTTTTGGTTGCTCATGGTCCTCCCAAACTGCCAGAAGTCTCCCTTGTGTCTCTTTTTGTGCTCTTGTCAACAACTGATGCTTCGATTATAATTATCGCGTAGTATATTTTTGACGGCGCTAATTGCTTGGAGACATGGGGGCAGGGGAGCCAGCCAGAGAACCAAGATGGAGCAGACGAACTGATGAGCGGGGAAGGAAAGGATCACAAGGAAGGAGGCAGGGGGAACGGTCAAGACGACACACACTATGACGATAGAGATGTTGGGACTTGTTATAACAATTCGATCGAATGATTCTATCAAAGTGAAAAACAAATACACTGTACTAAATAGATATGAAGAAACAAATAGATATCAAAGTGTAGAAGTCAGAGATCAAATCCTCAAACGAAAACATGCATGGCTTGAGCAAGGTTCGAACCGCGTGAATGATCGACTTGATCGAGATCCGCAGAGTTCTTTCCGATCTTTGGCTGCATTGCGGTACCGGTACGGCACCCAAGGACATAATGTAAATGGTTCTTAAAAAAATCCAAATAGTTTGCTTCCACCAACCCAAAATCCAACCGCCGTTTCTCACAATAGGGGTCTTCAATGTTGCTCTTTCAGATCACTTTTTTGCCCTCTTTTCTGGCCCTTGTGGGGGAGCGTGGAAGGTTCTCAAAAGAAGGGGCGGAGAAGTCAAAAAGAAAGAAAAAAAAACTTCTTTGAAAGAGCACCTTTTTAGGTGCTCTTTCCCTCACAATTTTTCGTTTCTTCACTCTTTGGGTCATCTTTTGCCCTTTCGAAAGTCCCGATGAGTCACGAAGAACATGCTGGTAAACAAAAGCATTAATGTTGACCCATGAAAGAAGTCACTGGATAGCTTGTGACGTATCAAACGGAAGCTTGTCCTAACATGTTTACTTGAAAGGTCATGTATCGACCTGGTTCTTGTTTTGCTGACTACTGACGTCACACCACACCTCTCCGGCTCTTCTCCGATACCCTTCTCTCCGCACCTCTGCCCCTCTTCCACGCTCCCCCACAAGCGCCAGAAAAGAGGGCAAAAAAGTGATCTGAAAGAGCAACATTAGGGGTCTTCAATGTTGCTCTTTCAGATCACTTTTTTGCCGTCTTTTCTGGCCCTTGTGGGGGAGCCAGAAGAGGGGAAGGAATGGGGTCTGAGGAGAAGCGGAGAGGTGCCTTTGTAAA